GATCCTCCGATTACAAACATGTACCAACCATGCCTGGACTCACCAGAGCGGCATGCAGTACCAGGGAATGAACCTTGGTCCCTGCGCTTGCCTAAGCAGGCGCTTAGTCCGCTGAGCTATCTCGCTAGCCCTAATAAATTTTTTACAATGAAGAAATCAAAAACAACACACAACACCTTAGTCTGGGCCAGCAGTGGCGCACACACTTGGGAGGCTGAGGCTGAAGGGCCACCAGGCTATGAGGCCAGCCGGGGCTACATGGTAAGTTCAAGATCAGCCTAAACTTTGTAGTAAGACCTTGTCTCAAAAAACTCCCCCCAAAACAAAGACTGGACGGACCAAGTTCCCGGTGCTACGGCAGCACCAGGGATCCTGCAAGGCGCACTCTGACGAAGAAAACAGCAAACAGGAGGGGAAGACAGCAAGAGAGTCAGACGCTGGCAACCGGGTGGCGACTATAATCCTGGGGCGGCAGCGGTCCTGTGGGCGCAGCCGCAGGCTCCCCAAGGCTCAGGCAGATGCACCTGGGGGCTGTGGGGCAGAGAGAAAGTGGCCACAGAAACGGGAGCCGGGTTCAGTGCCTGTTTGTGGAGCTGCTGTTCGGATCCCTGCCTCCCCATCCAGGCTTCTGGGTGGGGGGCTATGCACGGTGGGGGCACCAGAGGCTCCCCGCCCCCCGCACACCCTCCAGCTGCAGGCTCTCAGGTGAAGTCATCGTAAGATCCAGAGTCAGCCTGAGGCGCTCCAGGAGGTGGCAGCCTCCAGGCAAAGGGGTCCCGCAGGGCACAGAGTGCAGACCGTGGCGAGCTCACACAGGGCCTGCCACGGCAGCTGCCAGGAAAGGACCACGCTGGTCCCAGAGCCAAAGGCCGTACAGTGCCTGTGGCATCAGAACGGCGCTCTGCAGGGAAGGAGTCGCTAGAGCGCCAGGGAGTGTCTGGGGGTAAAAACGAGAGGAAGGGTGAAGGGCCGTCGGCGGGCAAGAACCTGAGGCAACACACCCGAAAGCAGACAAGGACAGAAGAATGGAAAGCACGGCAAAGGCAAAACGAAGCCAGATGTGGCAGCTCACACGCGGTCCTTGCGCTTGTGGACGCAGGCAGGAGGATCACTGCGAGTTCCAGAACAGCCTGGGCTACAAAGTGAGCTCAAGGTCAGCCTGAGCTGCACAGCGAGACCCTGTCTCAAAAAGACAAAAAAAGTAAAAATAAAAATAAAAAAGAAAAGAGAGGGAAAGGAGAAGCAGGAGGACGTCTGAGAGGTAGCTGTCAGGAGCCCTCAGCCCGCCCGCGAAGTCTGGCATCAGAAGGGCAGAGACCGACAGTTACACTCTCCAAACTCCCTTTCTTTCAAGGAAGCAGGGGAAAATCTGAGATCACGACAAGAGTCTAGTGGAGGAAACACACAGGCCAGGGCCTGCGAGGCCAGTGGTGGAGGGGCTGGCCAAATGCATACCGGCCCCGGGCCTCCTTCCCAGGAAGAACAGACCCTAAATGAAAGCACAGGCCGGCAACACACGGCGGCTACCTCCATCGGCATCACCACTGACACGCGGGTGGCGCAATACCCTACGAGGTGACAAAGGCTCAGGGGCCACTGGTGATGGGGACCGTTCAGCGCCCCTCGGCCTGCTGGGGCCACGTCCCTGAGGACCACAGCACTGCCACAGGCACGTGCTGCACGTTATCACAAGTATACACAGGAGGCAGGCAAACAGAAGTTAAGAGGAACATTAACTCCTGAGAAAACGAAGTCGGCAGGAAAGGCAGAGCAGCCAAACTGCTGGGGGCCTGGCTGGAGGCAGAGCCTGCCGGTGTCAACATGTACCGGCTGGAGCCACCACTGCGGGTGGAGGGAGCACTGGGGACGCCCAAGTTCCCATTTCCTCAGGGAAAGTCCCGAAATGAACTGGAAAAGGAAGGGCGTGGCCCCAAGGCTCAGCCAGAACCGGGTGCTGAGCTCACTGGGGAGCAGAACTGGAAGGAGGCTGGTCCGAGGGGCCCTGGGCAGAGGGCCCGCCTGCCCCGGCTCCGTGCCCGATTCAGTTCTTGTCAGATTCAAACCAAAGTGAACCAAACCCTGGGTGAGTGTGGGTCACGCGTAAATGCCATGTCACCCCTTGCACACATGTGGGGCCTAATCCTCCTGGGACAGTCGGAAGACTACAAGTCTCCAGGGCTTTCAGATTCACCCACTCTTCAGGCCACAGTAGCCCGAACGTTGATAATTACAAATCACAATGGTCCTTGAGGTAACACAGGTCACGAACACGAAGACAGAGAACCCAGCCAGGTCACCTACCTTGGGGGCCTTTCCCTCTTTGAGGGACCGCACATGCTCCCCTTGGGTCACTATGCTGTTGAACAGCTGCAGGGGTGAGGACTGGCTGCCCGGCTCATCCGCCATCCTGAGGCCTGAGGTTCAGCTGGCTGGGGACACGCTCTGGGGTCAGGACAACTGCGGGTGAGAGGGAGAGATTAGCAGATGGCGGCTGCTGGAGGCCTCACCTGTGTGCATCTGACAGGCTGGGTGGTGAGGGACGGCAATGTAAAGGGACAAGGTGTGGGTGTGCTACGCGGGGAAACCGAGGTCATGCCGAAGACCAAACACTGCTGCTGAGGACCAAGGAGCCACTGGATCATGGAGGAGGATCCGGGGGGGCCATGGCCCCATGCAGTGATGCCCGGGCAGAGCAGACCCAGCTTCCTAGAGCCAGGAAGCCTGGCAAGTGGCCACCTGCCTTTGATCTCAGTGCCCAGGGGCCTCTTGGCACAGTGAGTGGACCTGTCCAGCATGTGGCTCCCTGCAGGCCAACTGCTCAGCCCCCCGGCCTGGGGGCCCAGCGACCCAGGGCCTTCCCCAGTGGCGCAGGGAAAGTAGGACTTGATTTCGCTATGAAGCGCAGGTTGGTCTTGGACTCCCAAGGGTCGTCCTGCTTCAGTCTCCCGAGTACTGGGATTACAGGCACACGCCACCATGCCCAGACTGCGACTCAACTTACTTAAGCCAAAGCCTTGGAGCTGTGAACCAGTTCTGGAACATGAGCCCAGGGCCTACACATGTGCTGCATCCCCGGCCTCTAGGCGTCGCCTTGACGAGAGTCTTACCACATCAGTAAGTTGCCCAGCTTGGGATCCCCCTGCCTCAGCGCCCAAAGCGCTTCCTAAGGCTTGCCTGGCAGGAAGCAAAGCCTGCTGACCCAACAGTCATGGGAGCGACTCCTTGCAAGTGACAGGAGGCCTAGGAAAGCCAAGTGCTCGCCCTTCTTGGGCCTGTCCTGCTCCTCCTCCTCCTGGAGGGGGCACCAGGAACTTCCCTGCCTCCTCTGGGCTGTTAGGAACACAGAGGGCCAAAGCACTGGCCGGACATTGCAGGCACCAAGTGTCCGTGCTGGGAGACTAAATGACATTCAGCCATGGTCCCACACAGCCCGGAAGCCAGGGACCAGGCCCTTGGATCTGGTGTCATTTGTTCCTGTCCCCAGCATCAGTTGTTGAAAGGGTATGTCAATTTTCATGACAGCCACCTTCATATACTGAACTATCATACTGACCGCGATTTCCAGAAAGGGAAGTTGAAGGAGAAACTGGCTGGGACACCGCCCAGGCTGGGGTGTAGCGGGGAGATGAGATGCGGAAGCAACTGCTGTCAGTTGCAGGGCCAGGGTGGAGGCCTGACCCCCATGACCTCCCCAACTTCCCCCTGGCATGAGCTCAACAAGTGGGTCACTCCTTAGTGGCAAAAGCACCATGTCCCACTCGCAGGCCACACATGGTCCTGCTCTGAAGTCCCACGCCCTGCCATCCCAGAGCCTGAGCCCCTGGGGTGGACCACGGCGGTCACTCCTGTGATCGCTAAGCGCGGCCTTCAACTTGACTATCGCCCTCCAGCAGCCTCTCAGGAGACAGCAGAACCAACTGCCAGGCCTACGCTCCTGTTTCTGACACCTGACGCACCTTTAGGCCAATCAATATCCACTGGACAGACAGCTCCCAGAAACCACAGCTCAGCTTCTTTCATGGGGCCGACATCTTACAGGATTTTCTTTTCTTTTTCTTTTTTTTTTTATCTTACAGGATTTTCATGAGCGCTTGTTCTAGCCAACAGATGATTTCTTCGGTGCCTTGTCTCTCCTGTAATGGTGCACTGAGACTTCCAGAATTCCTGAGAGCCAGGCAGGTCTCCCAGTGTCTCCTTAGGCCTCACAGCCCTAGTCTGGCTTCTCTAGCCCTTGCTTTTAATTTTTTTTTGTCTTTTTGCCTCACTATGCAGTTCAGGCTAGCCTTGAGCTCACTTTGTAGCCCAGCCTGAGTGCTGAGCTCACAGGGGTGCGCCACCAGACCTGGCCTTGACTCCTTGCTAGGCCTCTGCCCTCACTCTGGTCTGGTCTTACCCTGCCTCCAAAAAAAGGAAGCAATGGGCACCAGTCTCTGAGTAGAGCCCAAAGCATTATCTTTATAAATTATAAATTCCCAGAAAAGTGCCAGGTGGAATGAGCCCAAGACAGTCCGTCTCCCCCCATTATGGCGGGCTGGCTGCAGACACAGCCTGGGGAAAGCAGGCATCTTTCGTTCCCAGAAGAGGCATGGTGACCCGCTCAGCCAGGGAACACCAGATGAGGTCGCCTGCCCTCAGGATCACAGGGCGCTTATTCAGTGCGGGGGAGCCACCCACGCTGTCCTCAGGGCACAAGTGTTGTGCACCCTGTGTGGTGCAACCTCTTGAGCGAATACCTACGAGTGGTCAGAGCCAGGGGACAGAACAGCTTCCAGCTTCTGCACTCAGCTCTGAGTGTCGGCACCCCACCCATGTCCAGCCAACACACTCCCAGCCCTGTCAGCTAACTTCTTCAGAGTTATGGGGAATGGACTCAGGATCTCCCCAAGGGGCCACATCCCCAGGCAGGGGCTTGGGCTGGGATCACAATCAGGCGCTTGCTGCCTCAGCGTCCTTGCAGTGATCACAGCCAGCGCTACCCATTAGCAGCTGGGAGCTGCGGGAATGAAGCATATCTTCAGCCCGGAGTCCAGGGGCCCTGAACCTGTATCAAAGTGTGCACGTTCGCATACTGGCATGTGGGCGGTTTCAGTGGAGTGTACAGGTGGCCTTATTCCAAAGCGGTCTGCGGCTGAGAGGGTAAGGAGCGTCACAGGGTTACAACTCTGAGTAGGAACTGAGTCTGGGAAAGCCCCTTCTACCACTACACTCTGAAAGAAGGAAGTAAAGGCACCACCACGAAGCTGCCCACGGTGTCCTCTAAGCCACAGGACCCCAAGTAAAAGGCAAAAGTGCCTCAGCACCACCGTTACACAGACCTTCACAGGAAAAGCTAAAAAACCTCTTGCATTCCCAATTTCCCTTTTCAAGGACTCGGGCCTTGTACTACTCCTTGTCCGGGCTGGGCACTGCTCAGCCACACACAGAAACCGGCTCCGGTGTGGAGGGAGGGGATGAGGAAGGAAGGACGGTTTGGCTAGCACTGACTCCCTCACCCTGGAAGGCCAGCTTTGACAGGGTCTCCTGGGAGCAGCTGCCCAGGCAAGTTCTAGGTGCCTGGAAAGCCACTGGAAGGTTTGGCTGAGGGGGTGCTGATGGCTGCCGGCTGGCGCGTTCTCAGAGGACAGGAAAATGCCCTTTTGAGAGCAGTCAGTTCTTTTTTTTGGCTTATTGACACAGGGTCTTGCTATGTAGTTCAGATTGGCTTTGAATGCACTCCATAGTCCACTCAGCCTCGAACTCAGAGATTCTCCTGCCTCAGCCTCCCATGTACTTGGATTTCGGGTGTGTACCACCTTGACCGCTGCACCTAGTTCTCGATTCCCCAGATTTTATAACAGATTATATTCTACTTTCCTTTTAACTCTAAGAGGAAAGGTTATGGACCCATCCAAGTGATAAAATGAACATTTTCTTGCAGGCAGGGGAGAAAGTTACATGAGGGAAGACACAAGTCAGCGGGCATCACAGTGACCACGCTACTCAGTTCAGATGCAGTCTATTCCAGAAGGCCGAACCAGGGAAAACCACAAGGGATCCCAGCGGGCAGCTGCTCCTCACAGCCTCTCTTCCCCGCTTCGGAGTGAAATAAAGGACACAATACTCTACTCCCGACAACCCCTTACCCCCTACACTGAGGTTTCCAGCGCTTTGGGGAAAGGCTCATAAAGACTCAAACAGTAACAGCGAGCTGGAAGCCTGGCAGAGAGGGCGCTACATACCCAGGCGGTGGGGGAGAGACGGCGGGAGGAGGCGTCGGTCACTCTGGGCGGTCGGTGCTCAGCAGCCCCTGAGCAGCCGGCAGGGGCTTTAGTACTCTTCCCGTTTTCTTTCGGTTTCCTTTTCAGGAAAAGCTTTTGTTTTTCCTGCTTACTCCACCCTCCAGCTACGAGCACTTGGGGGGGGCTTCCTAGAAATCACCCAGATTCTCATAAGCATTCCAGGCTCCGGACCCACCTCCCCTGTAGCCACGTGCACGATGGCTTTCTGAGAAATCAGGCCGATTCTGCTCAGCACCTCGGCCTCGGGACCCACCTTCTCGGTGCACCCGGCCAATCAGGGGCGGCTCAAGGCCAAGCACCCTCAGGAGGACCGGCTAGCCCATTGCATCAGCCGCGCGGCCTCCGGGAGGCGTCCCCACCCTCTTCCTCCCGCGCCCGACCCTCGGCATCGGTCACTGGTGTGCAAGTGCAGTCCTGGGGTGGGCGGGACCGGAGGAGGCCGAAGGGAACGGCCGGCGGCCGCCGCGCACGGCCGGGTCGCGAGGTCGGAGGTCACGAGCCGGGGCCGCGACCCAGCTCGGGCATCTCCTTCCGCGCGGGCTCCGGGACCCCCG